ATTGAAAATCTCGCGTCATCAGTTTTCTGTATACATACTGTATATATACAGCCCCTGTGCTGATATGTTTAGGGTGGTTTAGGCCTTTTAGGATGTGCTCCGTTGGAAAACACGTGCTCTTTGAGCCTGTTTAATAGGAGCCGCTCGTAGAGCTTCCCCAGGCAACTGAGGAGGCTGATGGGACGAAAACAAATTGTCATCTGATTATCTCTGTTCGATTTACACAGGTATTACACAACTCTTGGACGTAACGCCAATTTCATACGAAGGGACATATAACCTCCAGGTGTGTCGTTATTTACGAGATGCCTATGAACATAAGTTATATAAATAAAGTATATCCCACTGCTGGGCAAAGGCCTCCTCGGTACAGAGGGTATTATTATTAGGGCTAAGTCCATGCGGCCCCACTGCGGATTAGCGGTCATTTTTTTTTTCTCAAACAAAAATACATTGTTATACAGTACATTTTTTTAAATTTAGAAACATATTAGGAGCGATCATCTCATTCCCAGGGGTTATTATCGTTCATGTACTCTTTCATATTGTAATAACCCTTTGAAAAAAGTTTTTCTTTAATCAATTTCTTAAATCTGTAAATAGATAGGCTTTGCACATTTACTGGGATTTTGTTGTAGAAGCGTGTACACCATTCCATGAACGAGTTACTGACTCTATGGAGTCTAGTAACTGGTGGAAATGCGTGGCCAGCCGCAAAAGTATAAATATTTCGACACTTCACCAGATATCAGCGAGACGACTGTAGTACTTTTATAACATGAAACGTTTAGCTTGATACGATTCCGATATGTTTTATTTGTAAATTAGCGACCCGCCCCGGCTTCGCACGGTTGCAATGTATTATACATGTACCTAAGCCTTCCTTAAATCACTCTATCTAGTAAAAAAAATTATCTCACTCTATCTAATAAAAATCGCATCAAGATCCGTTGCGTAGTTTTAGAAACAAAGAAGATCTAAACATACATAGGGACAAACAGACAGCGGGACGACCTTGTTTTATACTATGTAGTGATATGGCATCAGTAAAAGGACATCGTTATCCGCATTATGTGTCCGCGTCGCTAAGTACCAGACGCCCTGGGATTCCCCCCTCGAGCGCCCGGCCGCTACGGGACGCGGATCGATAAGGGCGGAATAAAGCACAATTGAATGCAGATGAACTTAAAATTGTTGTACGTTCAGTACCTAAAATTTTAATCTGCTTTATACTTAAGAACGATCACTACGAACATAATTTGTAACATATTTTATGAAATTTTATATAATGAGACGTACGTAACTATGAGTTAATGATTTAAATTAAGGATAAGTTTGAATTTATTGATACTATTGTATAATAGTAGATATATATATGATAATTTAAGAGTAACGTCATACTCATTGTTTAGATAATAATAAACTTAACATTCGAAATAAATTTAATTTAATTTTATATTGGATAAATAATTTGATTTAATTTAAAAACAATAATTTTCACTTAATCAAAAAATAATATCAATTAGAAATAAATGATAATTTCTTCTACGTATTGCACTATAAGTTATCGTCTGATGTAAGCAAATAACATACGTATTTTAAATTTATAATCAGCTCTAGAAAAAATACTAAATTTATCTCTTAATGAATTAAGCTGGACTCAAGCTACGCTGCCAATTCGTTTTGGTGGTATCGGTGTAAGGAAAATTTCTAGTGTCGCTCTACCTGCCTTCCTTGCTTCCGTGCATAGCGTAAATAATTTATGTAATAACATGCTTAATCACGACTCAGAACTTTCCTATGCAGAGGAGGCAAGGATGTCTTGGCTGTCTATCTGTCCCAACGAAAATATCCCACTGGAAGTAAATCTACAAAAACAGTGGGATGTTCCTTTGGTGCGGAGAGTACAGAGAGATACGTTTCAATCTTTAGAAAGTAATTTAGAGCGTGCCCGTTTCCTAGGAGTCTCATCTAAAGAATCGAGTTATTGGCTTCACGCTTTACCATCAAGTAACTTGGGCACATTACTTGACGATGAAAGCTTACGCATTGCTGTAGGAATCCGTCTGGGGGCACCGATTTGTCAACCACACCAATGCCCTTGTGGTGTCAGTGTAGACAAATTTGGTCTCCACGTGCTTTCTTGTCAAAAAGTGCTGCCCGTTTTTCCCGCCACGGTTCCCTGAACGACATCATCCGTAGGGCTCTTGTTTCCATCAATGTTCCATCTATTTTAGAGCCCTGTGGCATTTTACGCGACGATGGTAAGAGACCCGATGGTTTAACATTGATCCCTTGGGAGAGAGGCAAAGCCCTTGTTTGGGACGCCACTTGTGTAGACACTTTGGCTGCCTCTCATCTAAGGGGTACTTCGGTCAGGGCCGGGGCGGCATCGGAGGCAGCTGAAGTAAGTAAATGGCGCAAATATGAGTCTTTATGTTCAGATTATGTATTTGTGCCATTTGCTGTTGAAACATTAGGTCCGTGGGGTCCCCGCACATCAAATTTTTTTAAAAGTTTATGTCCTAGGCTTAACGCCGCGGCTGGTGACAAGAGGGCTGGTTCTTTTCTCGCGCAAAGGTTGAGCATAACTATTCAGCGAGGAAATGCAGCTAGCGTTCTTGGCACCATGCCGCGTGGATTAGGTTTATTAGATTATATGTAATTTTAGATAGATTAAATCTTGTAAATATTAGATCAATAAAGATTGTCCATTTGCTTTTAATCAGAACTTGCATTTTTAGTGCTACTCGTGATCGTTTATCAGCTATTTTCATAATTTTACAATAGAAAATTGCTTAATTAAATTTCGCCAACGGAGACTGGGCCACCGTACCCAAACAATACAGCCATTGTCATTGCTTTAATGCTATTGTTACAAAATATTAATAGATTTTTCGAGAAATATTGAGCATTTGCACCGGACGCTTTTGCCGTTATTTGAGGCTCATTAGAAAAAAATCTATTTAAATATAAACTTTCTTGCCAGTTTGAAATATACAATCTAGGACCTCTTGAGCACATTTAGCATCGAAAACGATTTTGGTTAGGTACCAGCAATTATAACAATACGTAATAAAAACAAAAGCAAGATAATTAAATAGAAAATAACGAAAAATTATTGTTTTTTACTTGTATATTACGTGTTTTAAATAAACCGCGAGTAAATTCTCCGTGAAAGAAACATCAGCAAGAAAAATAAACATAGAGAACGAAAAAGAATTGATTTTTAGATGTATATTAAGTGTCTAAAATAAATCGCGGGGTCTACTTTATTGAGGAAACTCGAGTGTATACTGCAAGCCGCTAGATGGCGTCGTTATGTCAATGTTATTAAAAGGCGATGTTTTGTACGCTGTAAGTAATCAGGGAATTGGTGTTATATTTTAATTAAGTAAGAGACAAATTAACAGCCGTTATCGATAATTGCAATTCTTTGAAATATATATGCTGTATATATTTGAAAAAACTATGGTATCTCTATAAAATATTAATTAGGTATGTGAACTTTAATAAAATTTCTTATAAACAATGTAGTTATTACAATTTCTTATAAACAGTTTAGGCGACCGGATTGGTGTGGGGAGTAGTGACCCTGCCTCCTACGCAAGAGGTTATGGGTTCGATCCCCACTACTGGAAAAATATGTATTGTATGATGACCATAGTGATTTTCTAGTGTCTGGGTGTTTAAATATGTATAATATGTATTTATTTACAAAATAAAAGTATGTTTAAGTATGTTTATCAGTTTTCTAATACCCATAGTACAAGCGTTGTTTAGTTTGGGGAAAGAGAACGTTGTGTAAAAAATGTGTCCGAAAATATTTATTTATTTATTATTTTTCTTTTATAGTAAATTGTTAGTAAACGTATCAATTTGGTTAAATTCAAACAAAAATAAAACATTTTTTCGATTCAAAGTTGAACATGTAAAATTGTCTAATCAATGTATACCGGAAAGTATGTTTAGATTGAATCCAAATAACAAAATTAACATATACAATAAACTAATAACATATTATACAATAATGATTTTTATTAGTAAAAACTTAACAGAAATGGTATTCAGTACCTGGTAAATAACAATAAACAAATATCATCAATGTCTAGAGCTCCAAAGATCTCTTTTATTTTCTTGCCGCAATATGAAAGCATTGCAGGCAACATTAAGATTTTTTCAACGCTTTTTGCGCCAAGTGTCTGGCAGCATTGGTCGGGCCGCACCATGTAACCAAAAACTAATAGGCAAATAAATATCAAAACTAATTTATCGTTGTCATTATCGTATATTAAATATGTAATAGGTCTGGTCACATGACCATACAACAAGCATTTTGTTGACAAAATTTATAATACCGCTATACTTATACTATTAACATACAAAAACGTAGATATAGTAATGATTATATACACGTTTTTGTATATTTCATTAGTAAAAATTGGATATATTGGAATAATTTTGTCTTCCCTTCGTGAAAACCGCATGGTATAATTACAGTAGATGCGACATTGTTTTATTCTGAGCACCTGAATACGTTTTATTTATTACCATGACAATATACAAACGCAACTGTCTCATGAAGGATATATATAATTTTATACGATAGATCAAATTCATCAGACATCAAATAAAAAAATAAAAATTAGTCACTCTTCTTACTTTTAAGACGACAACGCTAAAAAAAAGATATGCGTTGGTAACACATTGAGTTTTTATTATGTTTTTGTGAAGAATACTGAAATTATATACATATACGTATACATGGTAAAGAATCTCTTTAAAGTTTTATACTGAATGAAACTGAAACAGGAAAAAGCACTAAAACAAAAGAACAAAAATAAATAATCAATTCCTTCAAACGTAGCACGTCCTCGCATTAGACTTCCCAATGAACCTATATCCCGCCCAATCGGGTTTTTGCGGCGTCAGGATGGATTTACGCATTCCCTTGTCTGAAAGCATCATTGAGAAATTAAAAAAAAAGTCCGCCCGCTCACCTGCCAGCCTTGTAGCAGCAGCGAGCGGTCGACCGTGCGCAGCCACATGACGGCGTCGCCCGCCTGGAAATCGCGCAGCCGGTGGCAGCGCGAGTGCAGGAACATGCCGAGGCACTTGAGCAGCTCCGACGTGGAGGCCTGTATGACGGTCTTGCGCGGCGGCGGCGGCTTCTCGCACACGTTGTTGTTGAGGGCGTTGGCACGCTGTTGCTCGGGGGCCGGCGGCGCCGGCGGCGGCCTGCTCTGCGGCGCCCCACCCACGTTCCTGTTGCGATCGAGCGGCGCGTTGTCCGCTAGCGGCGCGCGGAACGTCGCCACGCTCTTGCCCTTGCATTCCAGCTTCTTCTTGTTGTTGTTCGCGGTGGAGAAGCGCTTCCACGAAAGGGCGTTTATGAACAGCGAGTGCTTCTTCAGGTTCTTCTCGAGGGCGCTCTTCTCCGATATGATCTTGGCGGCGTCGTCTAGGGTGGCGCGCCGCTCGTCGCGCGCCTCCCTGTTCTCGCGGTTCTTCGCGTTGTTCAGCCTCTCGTAGGAGTAGGCGAGCGCGGCGCGGTCTGGCGGCGCGGCGGCGGGCGGGCGCCGCTCGCGCGGGCTGAAGCTCAGCACGGTGCCCATGAGGCCCGCGCGCGTCGGCCCGCTAAGAGCCGGCATGCATAGCGTCGGCCTGCGGCGGCGGCGGAGGCCCGAGTGCCGTCGATACGCGCGCGCCTGCGCCCCGCGGGCGCCCTATCGACCGCCGCCCAGCTGAGCGGCCCCGCCCCGGTAAACAAACCCCCGCGGCACACGGCCCCAAATCACCGAGCCACCGATCGGGATAGCACCCGTTCAATTAACCCGACGGGACATAACTCTCCTCTCGCCCGAAGCTGGCGAAATTAAATCGCAATACATCACCTGTCTCGTAGCATCTCATCTGTAGCCGCCGCAAGACGGGATGTTACTTGCATGCGTTACATAATGCTGCGGACGCCTGCCGAGCCGAGTGTTCGGATCAAATCCCACCTATCGCGACCGCCGCTGACAAACGCAGCCGCGACAAACCTAGATGCGGCCCGCTTGACACGAATACAATTTTCATTAAAAAAAAACGCTGACGGCGATGCGACAGTTCACAAGGGCAACTTAGAAATGCCAATTGTGTGCCTCAAGAAATCGCATCGCCACTCGGCGGTTTTAAGCACGCGCCCGTGTGATATCAAAAGGGAAACGTAACTTAAACCTCGTCGTGGAGAACGCACTTCGACTGGAAAAGGAGCTGCGAAACAAAGCGACGCTTCCTTATTAAAACGGCAGAATTGTGGCGGAAAAAAGAGTACATTGACCGGGGAAGGGGCCCCGGAAGGGCGTCTAACCGCACCGGGATACAGTTGATAATAATCGTTCGCCACCCCGCACAATAACATGCACGTACCCTACTTTTATAAGCCACGAAGGCTACTTTTAATGATTGTGGCTACGTAACAATCTAGTTCCAATCGAATAATAAAGACTGAATGAGAAATTTAAAAGACTCCGACGCTATTTGTTATATCAAGCCTATGACTATCAACGTCATAACCACAATCAAATTAATTTAAAACTTTAATAATCCACAATTACGTTTTCAGAATGAAAATGTCATAATTTTTAGCTATAATCATGTCCCTCTACTTCGGTTAATTGTCGCGGCGTTTCACATAATAAGCGATTATTCAAATGAGGGGTTAACCCTTTGTAATTCCGGGTGGCAGGTTTACCTTGCAGCTCAGAACCTGTGCGAAGCTGTCACATCGATGTACATCCCACGCAAAATATGCAAAATATTCCGTTACACGCAGCGAGCGTCCCAAAATGAACATGCCACACGATAAAATTCCGCTAAAATCGGTTTCCAGGCTTGGACTATCCACTGCTTTAAATGGATAGTCAAAGACTGTACCGTAGGTAAAAACACAGTTGAAAATACTGCAAAATAAATAATGTAAACATCACTCGAAAAATTATGATCTTTTTGACTTAAAATACGACGCACAATTAGAATTGCCACTACAAGTATTGTACTGTATTATCCGTATATCGCATTATAAAAGAAAATATAACATACACATTTAATCTTTGTATATTCTTTATTTTATCCTTAAAATCTTTTTTGTCTATTTTATCCTTAAATTTGAAGAATACTAAACTTTTATAGCTTATTTGGATAAATCAGGTGAGGAAATGTCGACAACATATGAACATATTTGTCTTCATCTCTGATAATGACGTATGTTGAATTGTGTAAATTAATTATTATATCTTTATAGATATAATTCTTCTGTACGTGTGTTTATTACTGAACTTTTGCTAAACGGCTGGACCGATTTTCATGAAATTTTTTGTGTATCTTCAAGTCGATTCGAGAATGGTTTAGATTCACATTTCGGGACTCTATAACATTTTTATTTATAAATTGTCGGTTTTAAGTCGTGTGTGCAGAACGTCTGTGGGGTCCAGAATGTACATCTACCAGTACATTAATGCTTAATGCATATAATAATGCATATAATGAATACATTAAAAGCTACGTTCTATTCAAAGGTTAATATTGGAGATTTTGTGGGTTTAAACCGTGAAATGGGAATCGCGGGTGGTATTAGTAATACGTGAAACATCTACACCCCGCAAAGTAGCCGCTGCAAATTGTCTAGCAAATCACTAGAAGCGAGCGAGCCGGCCGAGGTCGCACAGTAATGAGTTTACCTGAAGCCGCATCAAGTACGCCTAATAGGGTGACCACGAAGACCTTACATATTATAAGATTTGTTACGTGCAATATCCCCAAACGAACTAATGGTGTAATAGATGTTAAATGATAACCGCCGCCCGTTGATATTTGCATCACACGTAGGGTTGCAGATGGGTTGTCACCTTTTAATGAAGTTGGCCCGGGCTACCTACCAGACGAAACGCAAAAGAATAGCACTTCCACATCACGCTGGTCTTCAGTCAGGTCGTGGTATTTACCCGCATCAACCAGCCCATTCGTGCAACTGCGAAGACTGTTGTGTGGCAGTCAAGGCGGCCATCAATATGTCATCTCACACGACTTAACTCATCTTGATTTCGGCTTGAAACTTATCAAGATAAAAATGTATATGTAAAAATGTAAATGGAATAGAAGAAAGATTTTACCGTCTAAAGTAAATAAATCTGAAATGGATTACTTTAACTATAGTTAAAGACATCAATTTATGAATAAACTGAAGTTCAGATATTTGCTCAGCAATTATTAGGTATAAATGTCTTAATAATTGCTAAACAAATATCATCATCTAATTTAATTCAAATTTAAAACGAGACTGTCCGTTAAATTCAAAAGTCAAGTGTCAGCTAGTAGTCACACGGCGATGGTAAGCTATTGTTTGCTTAGGTAGTAGACGTACATATGTACGTACATACTATATTAATTGTCATTCGATACCGTTCATTAACTTGATGATTCATTATAGGGATACTCAAATTAAAAAAAATTATATATTATTTAACATAACGGAAAAATATAAACATCACCTCTTTTAATATCAATTTAGAACAAAAATAGGTCTTATTAGTTGCAAATAAAAGCGTTAAATAACTCACTAAATTGTCATACGGTTTTAATGTTGTTATAACTATGAGATTTAGCCTAATCACAATTGTAATTAGCAATGGATTCAATACTTCATACCTAAAATATTTGCTCATGTTTATTGTCTGAAATTCGTCGACAATACTCGCCACAAACCTGTGTCACGCCATTTTTGTAGCATGTCACACACTTACAAAAATGTACTCCCTTATTTTATGCCCATATCTAAAAAAACGGCCAAGTGCGAGTTGGACTTGCGCATGGAAAGTTCCGTACCTTAATCTATAAAAACGGCAAAAATCTGTCAAAAATCATGTCTGTTGTATGGGAGCCACACTTAAATATTTTTTATTCAGTTTTTTAGTATTTGATATTACTTATAGCGGCAACAGTAATACATTATCTGTGAAAATTTCAACTGTCTTAATATCACTGTTCATGAGATACAGTCTGGTGACAAACAGATAGACAGACAGACAGCGAAGTTTTAATAGGGTCCCCTTTAGCAACGGAACATTAAAAATGTATGTTTGAGTTACTATGTTCATTTATTTTGTAAATTATCATAGCCTCGGCTGTTGCAAACGGGCAGGCTCTTCCTGGTAAGTACCACGACCTCACAGAAGACCGGCGTAAAGTGGAAGTATAACAAATACTTTCGCGTTTCGTCTGGTAAGTGAAGTAGCCGGAGCCCAATTTTCAAAAGGTTGTCAACGCATCTGTAACCCTCGGGTGTAGCAGATGTCCATTGGGCGGCGGTGTTCACTTAACATCAGGTAAACCGTATTCATTTCACATAAAAAGAAAAGAAAAATCATTCATGAAAATGCAGCGGGGCTAATAGATGAAGTTATAGAGCCCAATTTCAACAGTAATTACTACAAGGGCATGAATATTTTATAAGCCTTTCCTCTAAGCCCGTGTTTGTTGTGACGTCATTAGAATTTCAAATTCATGCCATAGCAAATTGTGCTGGACCCCTCTCGTCACACAAAAGGAGGGTACGGGCGAGATCGTCTGTGTTTGCACTAAAACCTTTACGTGTGTTTTTAAACGCCCAACACATCTGAAAACTAGCCGTCTTGCAGCACAATACACTTTTTTTTAAGTACAGTGAATAATTGAAACTACGTTAACACGGACAGAAAATGCTCCTTGAGTATTGTGAGCGCTGTTTTTCTTAAACGTTGCGTAGGAATTTTTAAATGGATATTAATTTAATAATGTACAAATGTGTACTTGAAGTAAACAACATCGAATTTCTTATAAGGCAACTCAATATAGATTATTGTATAAGCTTAGAGTTATAATTTTTAGGTATATATAAATATATGGCTGTTACTTTAATTGACTTATTATTATTAACGTGATAGGGCACTTATTAGTAACGTGACTCCGTAGCGCAGTTGCCAAGATATTGGCTTCGGCGTTGGGGGTCGTGGGTTCGATTCCCATACGGGACAACTATTTGTGTGACCCACAAATAGATGTTTCGCTTCTGGGTGTTTGTCCGCGTGAAATTTATGTTTCTAAAACGTAATTACAACACAGGATAATGATATCCTAAAGTAAGGACAATGTTTAAAAAAAATGTTAAACAACACAGGCGGCATTAGGAACAGACAATGAAGACAACTGAGGTAACACTGTTTGTCGAAAGCTTATTCTGCCTTGAATTTTACGACTTGTATGGACCGTGCTTTTTATGTCAAAACCTAGATATCGGTATACTTTATATTAAGTTACCGCCATCCATGAACGTCTATAACAACACGGTTGGAATGCACAAAAATATATTAAATACTTTTGTGTATGTACTTACATTATTCAAAAAATGTTAAGACCGCAGAGTTTCTTGCCGTTCTTCTCTGGACAGGTCTAGTTTATTGAGCCGGTGGTAGTTTTTGACGTTCAATGATAATTTAAAATAAGCCCATATTGAATAAAGAGATTTTAACTTTGATATTACTTCCACTTCACGCCAGTCTTATGTGAGGTTACCACCAGGTACCACCACATTCGTTTCTTCCTTTAAATATTCAGATTGTATTTTTATTTAAAATAAATCCGTTAATAGCTATCAAATTTTTTCTAGAAATAAAAACCAAAAAATAAATTACTAATCGTAAAATGCTTAATTTGCAGTGCATAAATTGGTGAGAAGGGATCAACCGACGTTGAAAAACAGAAGCATCTCTTTTTTTTCAATCACGATTAGAGATCAATCTTTGATCATTTGCCTTCCCAAAGCTTACGTATAAAAAAAGAATAATAGTCTCCTGAGTTGGATCCAACATAAAGTTATGAACCAACTAAAAATTACAACAGCAAAACTCACTCCACTTATTTAATTCAAACACATATTTTGCAATATTTTTTTTTATGTGAGAAGGCGGAAAACGATCCGGCGGTTCACCTGATGACGCCGACCATTGACATTTGCAAAAATCTTTTAATAAAATGGGCCCGCCGGTCTTATGTGAAGTCGTGATAGTTCCCGGGACGGCCCTGCAACAATCCCATTCGTGCAACATATCATCACTTACTGTTATATTACATTTTCCGTCACTTTCACGATATTAAAAACTATGTTAATAAAAAACTAAACATTTTAACATTTAGTCGTAGAAATTGCATCAGCATAAAAGTGTATCCGGCTTTAAAACGACCGCATGATATTTATTTAACGGTCACCAAAAATATTGCGTCAAATCGTCTTTTAACATAATTATCGTAACAAATATAGTTATTTTGAATGATAATCATAACATAATACATTAATAATCTGACAAAATATTGATAAAAACTTGTTGCTCAGATTTATAAAATCGGAACTAAACTTATCACTAACAACAGAAAGGGTGCATGACCCTTGCAACATCTCTTTTAAGCCTATAATTTAGACCAAACAGAAGCAAATATCAAGTGTGATTAGTTCCAGACAGAATTATAACGTCAGGCGTAGGGAGAGGGCGCACGTAGGGTTGTCAATACCGACCACTGCGAAATTTAACCTTTGTGCTTCAGCAGCAAGGTTTCAATTCGCGCATAGCAATTTTATGATGCGATCGGTGAAATACTATCGCGTAAGAGTTCATTGAACTTATTTCAAATCGTGAATGCAATACTTACCCTTAGAGGATAAAGACAATTATAAGGGCGCCATAGTTTATGTTAATAAACAATACAATTTCCCAGCCGCTTTTTTAATGTCCTAATGTTTTAGAAACAAGAAACTTATTTAAAAATCGCTCGCATGGATGAAAACAAAATTGATTTTGTACTTTCATTCCATTTTCATATTAAGTCATTGATAAAAAGTTATCCATTAATATCGAAGGTTTTCAAATTAACAACTGAGGTTTGGCATAAAGATGAGATTTCGTTGTTAGAAATTATTCGACGTAGACCCCACAAAAATAGAAAAAATATATTTCGAGGATATGTGAGGTTGGCCAATCCGCTGTGGGATCGCGCCTATCTTATAGCCTAATACTCTCTATACATAGAAGACTTGCCCAACAGTGGTACATATATATATATATATATATATATATATAAATATATAGCTGTTAATTTACGGTTTATTTTAAACAAGTCCATTTTTTTATTATATATATTTTTTATTATATAATATTAAGAAAGAGTGTAGTGACCCTAAGTATCTCTGGAACCCATTATTAAATACCAATGAAATTAATACGGGACCACATGGGAAGCAACAGCTTTCAAACAAAAAAGAATCATCAAAATCTGTTCACTCATTTGAATGTTGTAAGGTAGGTATTACCTGATGTGAGACGAAATGATATATGATTTTCGATACACTTACGATATCAAAATGTCGAATAGGTGATACGAACAACTCAAGACAAACATGCTCACTTCCTGTGCATTAATCAATCCATATAAATTAATCAGAGACTAGTGCTCCATACACTCCACTTTGATATATTTATGAACACAATCGGACTGCGCATGAGAGTGTTGAAGACACGTTGAACCCATGCAGTTTGATCCAACTTGAGAAGTAGGATAGGTAAAGATATTAACAATCAATTTATAGTCGCAATATTTTTTTTGCGAATTATTTGTTTATTATATGACAAAGTTATCTCATAATTATCTGTGAGTTCCATAAGATCAACAGATGGCGGTGTAAGGTAAATTTATCGCCTGGATTAAGTATTCCATAGATGGTGCAGACGAAGTTGCGCGAGCCAGCTAGTGAATATATTTTACGCTTTCCCTTTAGTATGTGATTCGCACATATATCTCCTGATACATTATCTGTGTTAGAGCCACACAGCTTAGCTTCAGTTCAGCTGTTGCAGAAATGAAGCGGCTCATCCTGGATGTACCGTCTAGACAGTTTTGTCTGGTGAGTGTGGTAGCTGGGGCCAACTTTAAAACAAACCTTTCAAATCACTTACAATCAGATGAACAGCCAGCTTACTTGCCAACATTCGACTTAAAAAAAAAAATAATATCTACAATAAAATATTCTCGCAGAAGAATGATAAGATTAACTATTGTCTGAGTAAAATAAAACTATTTTCGCGTTTATTTTGATTTTTATTTCCCGGTGTTTTGAGTATTCCATTAACAGAAATCGTTCTCTCTTGAAAATATTCTAGCTTTTTATAACTCAGACGATGTACACACAACCAATAATTTATATTAATACATTTGGTCAAAACACTATTTACACTCCTCTACTACCGTAAGGTAAGATAACGCAAAACCAGCTCAATAGATGGCGTGGTCATTATCTCGCTTCAAATATGAAATATAAAGAGAAAATGAAGAGAACTCTGTTAAGAGAATTATGTTTACTCTCACGTGTAAGAGAAAGAAATAAAGTATCAAAATTGAATTTTTTATTTTATCAAAACACAGCTTATCAATTACATTATGAAAAAGTCACAGAATTAATTTAACAGTGTTTATATTTATGGTGTATGTAATTAGGGCCATTTCATGAACCCATTACAAAAGGAATTTCGCTTTAATTATGTACCAATTGTTTCAAAAATATTTGAAGCATTAGATGTCTGTATCACATAATTTGCAAGCTAAAGTTGTGGAATTGTAATAAACATCTTTAGCACAAATTTTTTTACTCAATTACACATTTATGTAATTTAGTCGTATCATATTTTATTACCGTAATTTAGTGGCATCGTAGGTATTAAAACCTCAACTTAATATAAATATAACTAAGAAAGACTGATTAGCAACTACATTAGACTATATTAAATTGTGTTTGACTTATCAAGTCGTAAATGCCATGGAACAACACTATTAACATTGATTGCAGCACAATGCAGGTCATTATATTTTCCGCCAATTTACAATATCAATCGTTAGTTATTATTCGCAAACATTAATAAAATATTACAACATTTTAAGGAAAACGATATAGGTACTTGATTTAGCTAATTGCGTATTCTGTATCAAAATTATACTCACAAAAATTTTTATTTATATTATTAGATTTATAAAAATGAGAGAAAAATTGTAATAAATTAACTTGGTCTTGTCTTATTTCTAATCTACGCGAAAGCAAAAACTCGCACACCGCCTTTTCTTAAATCTAAACATTTCATTACAAGAAAGCACATATTATAATAGATATCTTTTTTAACCGTTCTCATCATGGGTACAAATCATTATATAACCTCATAAACAAAGTGAATTTAAAATGAACTCCTCAAAAGCGTGACTAGGTTGAATTTAATTTACTTCGCCGATATCTTAGTAGTTGTAATATGCGCACTACCAAAAGTAATTAACTATTCATCATTGATATTCAAATACTCGTATAAAAATCATTATTTTAACAAAAAATTACAATTAAGTTCCTTTTAAAACACGAATGTGATCAGTATGTACGACATAACGTCAATATCTCTTACACCGAGATTACAATTTTATCGCAACACAAAAACTAGAAGAAAGTTTTTTCAGAACTAAATTAACTTCATTTAATTAAATTAAAATTGAACTTACTTTGAAAGTATAACAGACTACAACAATATTTAGCTCTTCTAACCTTATTGTGCGTTAGACGCGTCGCTTAAAAATTAAAAAGCTACTTTGCTTTTAACCATAACACCACAGAACCACATTTGCATTATAATTTCTTTTGATAAAAAGGAGAAAGAAATGACATCATTTTCTTTATATTCCTAATTGTCGAAAATAGTTATTAATAGATCTGACGTATAGTATATTGCATTTCAACTATTTATTTACATTCTTCTTTTGAACTGTTAGGAAAATTTTAAGGTCTTAATAACTGTAAGGATTTTTAAAAATACTAAAATGTTCGCCATTTATAGTACGATAGAAAAACGGTCAAAGTTTTTAAAGTGATTCGAGCTGTGGTTAGGAACTGCGTTTCGAACGCAAAAAAAAATTCAGTCACACTGCAGACTAGGACTACCCATTAAGGTCAACATCATAATAAACATGCTTAATCTATCTGTTGTTCCTATTTCTTTTTGATGAATTAAACTTTTATAACTTTGTGAAAAAAAAAATATTAAAAATTCATGTGTTAAAATCTGAATTTTTAGGTTCTTTTGTCAGACTGAAGAGAAGAATAATCTGAGATTTAAGCTTTATTTGCACCCTGAGTTGACATTTTTCTTTAAATATACTGCAATTATTTCGATTTATAATAGAAAAATAGTAAAAAAAAGAGACTGGAAACACTTTAAAATAATAGCTAAAATAGATGAACTTATTAGCTACTGAACTTTATACCGTAAGCAAATTTACGCCCGGTTTCTGAAACACTGATAATCGTAGAAGTTAACTAATCAGCTGTCAAATGGCTTTTCAAATGTTATTTGAGTTGCCAAAAGAATTGTTAAACTCTCTTAATTGATCAGATCAGTAGTTAATTTCTACGATGATCAGTTTTTCAAAAACCGGGCGTTAGTTTCTTAATAATTAAGGATATTAACCTATTAGAGATCCATGTTAAAGGTTTCCTGCGACTCGTCGAAGGAGACAGAGTTGGAGCGTGGTTTTTGCGCAGGGGTGCTCGGTGTCTGTGTCACAGGGCCCGGATTCCGTAGCAAAGATGCGGGCAAGTTGCAATCCGGTGGGGTCTGCGAGATCGGCGATTGACGCAGCGACATCATAAAAGACCTCTCGTAGACTATCTTGGTGCCTGAAAATCAAAAACGGACAATTAGGTAACTGACAATGATATTGTTGACTAATAAGCTTTGAATAGAAAGCCTATTCCAAGAATAATACAATACGAATAAAAAAAGTATGTTTGTCCTTATGTACGAAGGTAAGTGGTTATACTTCTTTAGCGTAACAAAAGAAAATAAATAAGAATTTTATCTCTTGAGATCTTTGTTTGTAAAAAAGAAATTAAATGCAACTGATAACGGTTATAAATTGGAATTCATTGTTACACTGTCGTATTGATAACTTCGTTTAAAATATTTTGCCATAAATCAACTCTTACATTGTTAATAACACTAAAGTTTATTTACTAATATCAATACAGAACCTTTTGTCTCGCATATCTTACAAAACCTGTTTAAAAACAGTTCGAATCCAAAAACAAATTTTTGAATAATAATTAAGTAATAACAAAACCAATGTCGATAAATACATTTTTTATAAGCGTATGAATCATTAATATACATATCGTGTTAATAAATCAAAAAAATACTAGTAAAGCAATAGTTATTTTAACACAAATTCAAACTTTTTGAAAAAATTCGAACACAATTTTAATAGGCTTTCTGAACTTCTTATATTCAGCATTTTCCTATAGGGGAAAACTACAAAAACAAGAAATTGACTCCATAGCGTCCATATCAATGTCACAAAAACCATAAATACTCAACTAATAAAAATAAATATAGAAAATAACTGTACCTAACCATTATACCGGCATAATAAAATTGGAACGGGTGGACCTAACAAGAAGAAATGTATACCAGATACTGAGGTCTGTAGTACCTATTATATGTAAAAATAAAGGAATTGAGTCGACGCGATAAGAAGAAATGGGCAAATTTAGATTTTCGCGAAAACTAGTAAGTATCAAAACTAAATGTTAATTTTCAACTTTTTTTATTCTTCGGAATTTACCTTTTATTAGAGCTGTCAGACCTTGCTTTTTGCCAATTTCGTGATTCGAAGTTAACGGAAAATACCATATAGGTATTCAATCCAAAACCTATAGGGTACTTCCAGTTAACCTAGAATTGACCTAATTGCTAGGTCCACCCGGACAGACAGACGGACAAGAGAGTGATCTTATAAGGGTTTCTTCTTTACCTTTTAAGGTACGGATCCCGAAAACTAAAGCATAACATAAAATACATATTATACCTGTTTAATTTTATTGCTTATATACATATGTGGGCATAACTACATGGTACTCTATATTACGAGCTCTCTTATTTTACGTGTTTATTTGAAAAATTAATAAATTTAAAGGTTCTTGTGACTGATGGACAACTTGTTAAGCAAAATTCGTTAAACAATGTTAGGGACTTTACATTCCGTCCTGAATATCTATTCAATAGAAAATATGTATAAATATTACGAGTACGCACGTATATGGTTTGCCTTACGTAAACAAACATAGCAATTATTTCGAAGCCTGTAAGCCCACTTCAAAACTGATTGATTTTTATTAACCGACTTCAAAATGGAGGAAGTTTCTCAATACGACCGTATATATTTTTTTATGTGTGTTCGGTGATAACTTCTTTATTTATGAACCGATTTTGATGATTCTTTTTTTGTTGGAAAGGATGGAAGGTGGTACCATAATAAAAAAAACCCAGATCTGATCATGGCATCCCAGAGCGTGAGTGTGAGTTGACAATGTTGCTTTACTTTCCGCGTTATTGATGTCGGTTTTTTTAGTTCAAAATTATTTGTATATTCTCTAACAATTTTCCTGAACTTTGTCGTCAACTCCCTCGGGAACTGTAGTTAACGCATTTCAACAAACGAAGAACGCAAGATTTGTGGATACACACAGCGTGGATACCTAACTTTTTATCCTAACGTGTTTCAAATGCTGGATACCTACTTAAAAAACGATGTAAATGATTTCTAGAATAAAAAGTCACATAAAACACTTACATCTTCAACTTTTTAATATCAATTTAAATACCAAATGTTTCAGTAATCTATTGACGAAATATCGACATCCTGAGATCTTTTTGGCAATGTAAATTAGAAATTGTTATACTATTTTTTATCTAAAACTAACTATTAAAGTAAAAATTTTCACACGTGTATTATTATTTACATAGAAAATAAGAAAGTAATCAGGTTCCCTTCAGACTTATTTTTAACAAGCTCGCTGGTTTCTGTTTACCTATTACACGTGTTCTTGGCTAGTAACGTGCCCTTGACCGATTTGGATTTTAGACAACATGATCGACGGAGTCTTTTAAATTTTTCACAACAAGGAATTAATAGGCGAAAACTAGATTAAACCTACAAGCCTACTGCTTTTCTGTACAAATGTTAGTATTCTATATTAAGTTTTTAAGTTCGTGTAATAACCTATGGACTCTATATTTAATGAACTGCACTGATTCGAGACAGAACTTTAATTTTTTTAAACTTTATACAAAATTTAGTACAAAGGCGGAGTTAACGCCACTGGAAATTTCTTTTATTTTTTACTAGTTCATTACTTTTCATCAACTTCTCTTGTTCTTCATTTTTCTCTGATCAATCTGTGAGTTATTTAAGTTAAAAATAAATTTATAAAACAATTTGCAACCTAAATACATCGTAAATTAGTTCTTGTGCGAACTGTTAAGTTGAGATATATTTATACAAGTTTATTTACAAACATAGGAAACACGTGTTCGCATATGCGATTTAAATGTTACTAACAGTGCGAAATTAAAGGCTGAAAAAGGTTACTAACAGTGGAAAAAGCGACGTCAGATTATCTATAAAAACTAACCTCTAAAATAAACATCAAATTGCATCGCAAAAAGAGAATTACGACGACACGTGCTTCAAAACAGTCGGCGAATCGATTAAAAAAAACATAATATTAACGTTACGACACGGTTCGGTATCTGTGTGGAATACAAATTCAAGGTCTATCGCGTACAATCAAATTATATATTCTATATATCCTATTCCTCCTACTGTCGTATGATAAATTAAAATAATTCTCAATTGTTAGGTCAATTAGCTGACGCGTAGGTAATTGTTAATAATGCACTTAACCTAGTTTCGCCTACGCTTTCGATAATTACAAGCGGACACGACCGATTATATAAGTTCACGTGATAAAAATTTTACTATTCTTACCATGTGGCTTCTTATTTTCCGGCGTTACTACGGCTTTTAGGGGAGACGATACGCGGTTAGTATATTTACCTCCAGGCGTAGTAGAGTATATCGTGCCACCGGGCGTGCTGGAATAGACGTCTGGCATCTGAGCAGGATCTGTGATGAGGACTTTCCGGGATGGGATCGCTTGGCTGTGCGTAGCTTGCCTGGCTACCGGTGACGCCGACATTTTAGAGTATTAGTTTTTGTTTACTTTCAAAATCACAGTCACAAACACTACTCGACACAGGACTGTTAGAGACTGAGCCGTGTAGAAGCGGCGCCTAAAATAAATACTCTGCCGGCTCGCAACGCACACCAACGTAACACAATGTAAACATCACACTTGGACGAACACATCAAAACAATCAAAGATTAAAAAGTGATCGAGAAATGTATAATATGCCTAACTCATGTATTAATCATAATCTGTATTTTTCCGTAGAATCTCACAGTAGTAGTCTTTACTAATTTTAATACTTTTGTTACTTAGCTTGCCTACATAGTACTCATGATGATATCTCAGTTTTATTGAGCATTGCTGATCACACACATTACTACATCCGTACGCTCATTATTAATTTTCATTCATCCATTTTTGAAAAGACTTTCGGTGCAATTTCTAGAAACATTCTATTCTTTATTTTTGCCATGCGGGGAAGTTTAATTCAAAATACGGACAGGTAATAGAGTAAACATGTGTCTAAAAGAAAAAGGATAAAGAAGGGTAAAAATATAATTAATAAAAGAAGGGAAGCTCAAAGAATAAAGTGTAAGTTAGTGAAATAATACAGAATACAACAAAAATACTAGCATCGATTAGAGAGGTGACATACTAAGTTAGAGCATAAATATTACCCGTAATCGGTGGCAAGTTTATATATTTATAGATGTATGAATATCACAGATGCAAAAAGGAGTACAAGGACTGATGTCTGGCGAGATATTTAATCTGTCCATATTCCTACATATAAATATACTAAATTAAACTAAGTATGAGAGTCTCCGTGTGACCAAGTATTAAACAGCAAGTATGCGTGGTAGAGCCACGTATCAGCTTATGTAGGAATAGGTCGGTGCGATAGGGAAATAAAACATCTACTTTGTTGTTGCGAATATAAAAGGGCGATTGTAACTTGCCACGCTATAAGCCACACGTCTAAAAATCATACCAACATTAAATCTTGTCAATTGTTAAAAAATACGAATATTTGGAAATTATTACCACTTAAACATTTTAAAATCAATTTAGAATTAGCAGCTTCTTGCAACATAGGTGACATCGAAGTATCGGAAAACTTATGTTTATTTATTTTATCCGTGAAAATTTATTAGATAAGTATATAATGTACTACTACACTTGAATAATCTATGACAAAACACGCAATGTCGTACTATCTTATTATTACTCACACATAGGGTAAAGCTAGTGCGTAGTTTTTTTTAGTTTAAAACGGCTATTTGATATAGCGACCAATTTATAATCTTGTTTGTCACAGAATCGTTTTCATTACAGCAAAGTGCGGATCCGGAAGCCATCATGAGTTTGAATAAATTATAAGGATCTTTAGCATAATATTTACTCGACAAGATCAACGATTCTCTTAGCTGTTTTCATTTATAAGTCTAATATACCCTTTATATACGCATGTATGTCCGTTTCATTTTATAAGAATCCTAAAATGATTTCAAAGCCAGCGGCTTCTGCATAAAGCAAATACATCATTTATGTTGGTGAATTAAAGAAATGTGTAATTTATCGGCATTAGTGACACAAAACAGAAATAATGAAACAATTCAATAAAGTATAGTAAAAATTGTAAAGTTCTTTGAATCTCTTGAAACTCTACAATGCACGTGACTCTATATATGGTAATCCCTAAAACTATAAAGATTTTTTTCATATATAACTTTCGTCAAACAATAAAACGATTCCGTTTCTGAAAATGTTACGTATTCTAATATTTTCTTATTTTGTTTTAACGAAAAATATTCACAACATCAAATCTAACTAAATTAGATTTTATCTAATGCACCTAGTTAGTCCACGCGGCATAGTGCCAAGAACGTTAGCTGCATTTTCTAGCCGAACAGTTATGCTTAAGCTAGCCATTCTTTTAAGTTATGCGGTAGTATTGTAAGAATCAAAGTTTGATATTGACAATACTACCGCAGTACCGTCCAGGCAATGAACCATGGCATGGTAAAACAGTTAAAAAACCCAGTAACAGGATAATAAAAGGTGTGCAAGACTATAATACTAGAACATTGTATGTTAATAAAACCGTAAATCATTTAAATTTTTAGAATGCTTATAGGGATAAGCGTCAGGCCGCGAATGCCGAAGACGTGGGTTCGATTCCCACAGCGGCGACAAACCTTATCTAACTTTTTCCACAAATTTTACTGTAAATCATTATTAGTTTTAGGTATTGAATGTAAAGTTAACACAATGCCCACGAAAAGTTTTCATTTGTAATTATTTCTGTACTATTTGTCCACGCACTGTGCGGCGTCTATTTGTAAATGATTCCGTGTATTTGAGATCTCTGCGTTCATTTAATCCATTCTCACCCATACCGGTAAGTAAAACAAATTCGACACCGAGCAAGCTTTAGAACTTTTTTTGTGAGGCCTTTACAGATCCACCGGACTCGAAGTGGGCGGACTCTAATAACGCCTAGCCAGAATCTCGGTGAACTTAAAGCAAGCTAGTAGCTGACTTAAGCAACTTCAACACTTCTACTTTACGCTGATATTCTGTTAGGCTTGAGTACTTTTCAGGAGTATAGCTCTTTTATGAAACATCAGAATTTGCTTCGTGAATCTATCATAAGAATGAATACTGTAATAGTAAATCCTGAAGTAGGAGTCAGGATGATCGGAGTCCTTCGTAAAAAGGCAGGCATAGGGCTTCATGCCAGTAATTGTCACAAAATAGGCACTGCCTTATTTACAGACCGTAGGGAACATGGGAATCACTCACTATAACATAGTTTCTGTTTTGGACTAATTCGTATCTCTTCTACTCTCAACATTCGATTGGTAACTAATCTAAGTCATGAGCCGATGTTAATATCTTTGGACATAATAGCTTGGGATATAAAATGTATCGATATTTATTATCGCAACATATTAAGGACAAATTAAAGATCCTAGATTAACCTAGTCACTATTATCTTACTTTAATAACATTACCTACATTTTCTATGAACTATAAAACATGCTGTTATCTTACAGTGTTATTATTAATTAGATTTTAGATTATAGCTGCATCTCAAATCTATCAATTACCTAACTACAATAAAATTAATACAATAAAAATATAATATATTGAACATCAATATAAAATATAAAATACTAACTTCACTAAATGTTATCTAATCTAATACGTAAGTGGCATGGCACGGTGTGAAGAACCTTGGACTCCAAGGCTTTGGAATGAGAAAAGAACGGCCAGCAATATGCCTCTACATTTTTATCTTATTATTCAAAAACAGATTGTTTTTTAAGATGAACGATAAGCAGCTAGTAGAAATGACGAGACAGATATCGGTTTTCGTAATTATTTGCCTGAAACCACAAAGTATCATTCATAAAAAAGTTAGGTTATAAAAGTAAAGTTATTCTACTAAGCGAAATTCTGTATTCTTTTTTTGTGAGTCGCAAGTATCATGAAGAATTGGAGCTACTTAAGGAACACTCGCAAAAATGTTTCCTATTTAAAACGTCGAGTACAACTTGGCAATTAAATACCCACATTTTTCCTTTTTCCATAGCCTTGATCTTTGCGCAAAGAAATATATTCAAATCAGAGTCATAACACAATTGATATTCCAAGGACGTCATCGTACACTCGTACTTGCATATATCAGACCGGCCGGTCCGCTAGCAATCGCCTTCGTAATCCTCTTTTCAGCACACCGTTTTGATAATTCAATGGTAAATCAAAACAAAACAGATAACTCACAGATTCGAAAATTGAACTATAAATTGGCATACAATATATTCTACACAATTTATTTAATTTTGACGAGAACTATATTTACTTTCCGTCGACCCCACGTATCACAAATTATCCAATGGTAAATGATGACAACTCACAGATTCGATATTTGCACTTTGAATTGGCCTACAATCAACGTCAACCCTACGTAGAACGATTGGCATTTGGTTGGTGTATTAATGCTGGAGATTGACGCCCACATAATAGTGTGCGGCGTCCGTGTCGACGTTAAGCCGACAATGAGATACCTCGGCCTAGTCCTAGATCGCCGAAGGAATTTCGTTCCCCACTTCGAGCGCCTAGCTCCAAAAGTGGTGAGAGCGGCGGCAGCTCTCGGAAGGCTGCTCCCGAACGTTGGCGGCCCCAACGACTCCTGTCGCCGCCTATACACCGGGGTCGTGAGGTCTATGGCCCTATACGGTGCTCCCGTTTGGGCCGACACCCTAAATCGCCGGACCATGGCGCTTCTGCGCAGACCACAGAGGGTGTTGGCTATACGGGCCATACGGGGCTACCGGACGATTTCCGGTGAGACGGCGTGCGCGTTGGCTGGTTCCATTCCCTGGGACCTAGAAGCCAGTATCCTCGCGTCATTGCACTTCTGGCGCGAGGAGGCAATAGCCTGGGGTCAACTGCCAGCCTTAGAGGAGTTGAAGGGGTGCAGACTAAGGCTACGCTCACTCGCCATCGCCGAGTGGGAGCAGAGGCTGGAGCACCCCAGTGCCGGCCTAAGAACCATTGAGGCCATACGTCCGGTACTCAGTCGGTGGCTGGACAGGCGTCACGGCACCCTCACCTACCGGGCGACGCAGGTTCTCTCGGGACATGGCTGTTTTGGGAGGTAGCTGTGCCGCTTGGCGGGGAAGGAGCCAACAGCGGTTTGCCACCACTGCGACGTATGTGCCGAGGAGACGGCCCAACACACACTGGAGGAGTGCCCAGCCTGGCGGGAGCAGCGCCGAGAGCTGATGGCTATCGTGGGGCACGATCCCTCGCTACCTGCCGTGGTCCGCGCTATGGTGGACAGCGAGAGGTTGTGGGGTGCCGTCCTTGCATTCTGCGAGGACATAATCACCCGGAAGGAGGCCGCGGAGAGAGAAAGGGAGGCAACAGCCACCCTGGAAATCCGCCGCCGGAGACCAGGGCGCAGGAGGCTGGCCTACGCGCGCAACCTTCCCCCCTGA